CCGCTGGACCACCCGGGTACCACTTCCGGGCTATTGACTTCGCCGGAGACCATTCCGATATTAAGTTTTTCACGCCTTGATTTGACAAGCGCGTTGTTGACCTCAATCGCAGGACACCGGTCGTTGGGATTTCGCAGTCGTGTCGGCGCATTCGCACGAGAGTCCCGCCCTTATCAGCATGGAAAGAAAGGTTCCACGGTACCGGCATCGTGCCCGGTTTCCCCACGGAAATAGAACGCTGGTGACATTTGGAAGCCAAGCAAGGGGGTTGCCGACTACCGACGCGCGGCGCTTGTCTTGGTTGAATGATGATGTCCTGGAGACGAGTCGTGGGAGATATGAGCATTCCTGTCTCAGATTCCAATTGAGGCATCCAGAATTCGAATCTAGCATCACATTGTAGAGTTTCACGATCCCTTGAGAACACGCTCATTGACTGGCAGGACGCGGTCAATCTGACTCCCTCGTCTCGTTCCTGAGCTAGGACTGACTCTTGGATGATCGAGATCCGACCCTGGAAAAGAAGCAAGTGAATGGCGCTCATACACACGTGATGCCTGCCAACGGCTTTCTTGGCAAACAGGACAACATGAGATGTGTCCATAAGGTGAGCCCTTGGAGGGGAGATTATCTGATTGATAACGGTTCCCCTGGCAAGAAAATGGTCCAACAAGAAGCTCAGGATCCAGGGTGGCACTGACAGAGTATCAAAATGACAGAATCTTTGGTCACCCTGTGGGTTAACGAGATGACGGCAGAATCCTTCAGAGACGGTGATGGGTCAGGCTGTGGTTGATTTAATGGACCGAGTGAACTTCAAAATGCGATTGAGCCTTTAGGCGCAATGATCGACACTCGACTTTTGAAGAGCTCGAGAACAGGTGGTAAATGGCATGCCATGAGGTGGTTTAGAGTTCCCCAGACATTGGCCAGGCTTTCAGGCGGCACCTGCGCTGCAACGTCGAGTGGGAGACCGAAAGAGAGGGCCAGTCCTGTGTGCATATCCGTAGTTGCAGGGAGGGGACAGCTCCCCGGCGCACGTTGCATGGGCTTTGGAAGTGACCGTGGTGCGTGCGTGGAGTCTTTCACTCTTGCAATGCCCCGAGCCGCCCCGACTCCGGCATCACCTGTTCGTGCCGATTTGCGTGCTGCAGGCCGTAGGATATGGATTATGCGATGCCTGGCCTTATCGAACCGCAGCGGGGCCAGCCAATAGTTTCCGGGGATGGTGATGATGATCGGTTTGCAGCACTTGGAACCCCGCAAGCCATCGTGTGCCTCTCGCCGGCTGCATGCACGCACAGGGCAAGGCCAAGATACCTCTTGCAATGCTGCGGGCTTTTTTCAACGGCTGCAGCAGTCGGATAGCAACTTCCTGCCGCCGGTGCGGCCACGCGCCAGGGTTTGGTCAGCCTAAGATGTCATGCAGTATCTGTGGTTTACTGAAGGTGTAGTGTCTTCGAATGGCGGTGAAGGTGAGTCATTGGCCGATGGCAATGGCATTGTTGGCCGAATCCCGCTTTGGGGAGATGGGATGGACCATGAACGGGGGCTCAAGCAGATGGATCTGATCCCCGAGCAGTGTCTTGCCCCAACGGGAAGGTCGATGATTAGCAGCAATGGAGGTGCGGATTCGACATTTGAGGGTCCAGTCCAGTAAAGTCCAGCCGAGGACTTCGTTTGCGATTCGGTTCTGAGGAGAGCTGAGCGACCTTCAGGACAAGAAAAATGAGGGGTTCTGCGTTGATCAACCGCGTGATGGAGGGACGGGCGAATCGATTGACACGATTGGGCCTGTCCGGGAGGTCATGAGGCTTCATGTTTGTCACCCATCAGTGGTATCTGGAGTGTCTCTATGTAAGCCAGCTTCCATCCATGCCACACGCGTATGCAGGAGAGGTACGAATAGAGCACGCAATGGAGCGTATGGCGTGCGATTCAGGTTGACTTTGGTGTTCCAGGAGAGCGAGGGGTGTGGATGGCCCAAGGCAAGAAAGCAATCTCCCTCATGCCGACAGTCGAGCGCCTATCGGCCTGCAGCAGAAGTGCTTGAAGCGGGTGGGGAGGAAGTCGCACCCAGGATCAGTTCTCTTATTCGTTATCGCCGCTTTGCAGGTGCGGCGCCGTACGTGAGGACGGGTGGGATATTCAGAGTCCCGTCTTGCAGTCGATCGTTACGTACGACCTGAGAAAAACGTCGGCGTACGACTCAAGCAGTTGATGTGCCAGACGCAATGCAATTGGTTCAATGTCGACGACGTCGAAGAGTGAGCCGTGCGCGTTGTACACGATGGGAATGTGGTGGTTGGGAGTCGAAGATTGGCTTCTGACAGCGCACCAAAGGCGGAGAGGTGCGGATGTTCCTGAACGTTGGGAAACCTTGAGCCTCGTGGCAGCTCTTGGATCCAGAGGCTAGCGAGCTGGTGCTTGTGGGAGGCCTTGAGTGGACGCCTTTGAGTCCTGTAGGGACGAGGGAGCGTCAGCTCAAAGCATTGTTCGACGGTAAGACATTGTTGATGGTCAAAGCCTACCAAAGCAGCTTGAGCTCCAAGTGTGTGGGCTAGTCGGGAGTTAGGAGACGGCGCAGGTCCCTCAGGCCAAACACCCAAAGGACGTTCGTTGAAGGACAGATTTGCAGGAAGTCAGATTGACGAGGCAAGGTTTGGCCGTGTACTTCCCAGGCATCTGGGAGCAGTGGTTGGCTTGAGACATCATTCTGATCTCATGGGAAAGTGTGTCGCAAGTTGTTGGCAAACCATCTGTTCTTCACCAAAGGCAAAAGCAAGGAGGGACGCTGCCGATGGAACGGGTGTTGCCTATGCCGCTGTTTCCTGCAACAATAAACACTGCGGGCTGCCATTGCCAATGCCCATGAAAACACGGTGAGGTGAGTCGGACGGCAAGGAGCAGGCATTTGCTTGCGAGAGGGCCAGGTTCTCGGGAGCAACGCTTCAAGGATGCATTAATCCGGGTGGAAGGTGGGTTGGCAGAGGTGTGGTTGGCGGGTGAAAGAGAGAGCGAGATAGTGAGGTGCTGCTGCTGCTGTGGGCTCGCGATCCCTGCAAACGCGCTTTCCAGAATCCATCCATGTGCAAGCAGAGCCAGAGCCAGAACAGCTGCGTTGCGCCTTCACTTCCGGCAACTGCCTGCGATTTTGAACCCAAGCAGGAGCTACAAACTGCAATTGCACTTGCACTTGCACTTGCACTTTCAGTTGTACATGCGCTTGCTCGTTGCGCCTTTTCGCCCTTGCCATTTCTAGCGTGGTATGGCGTCTAGCCCTGCGAAAAGATAGATACGTACCTCTTGTTTCTCTTGCTCAGGAATTTTTCATCATTATTTTTTTTTCCCTCCTTCCTCAGAGATCGAGCTCTCAGTTGCTCATCGGGTACGTACCGAGACCTGCCGCAGTGGGGAAGAGGAAACCGAGCTCGCCGACGACAAGGTGCTCGGTCGTCATGGGCGTTGAGCGTTCTGGGCCGAAAGGAGCTGGAGCTGGTGGGTTTTTCTTGATGTTTAGATTGGGGAGCCTTACATCATTGGGTTGGTGGAATGAGAGAGGCCTTGCGCAAGACGCTCCAGCGACATCTCATTTCTGGGAGAAATGAAGCTGGCCGGCAGGTGACTTGATGGTTTTGAGGTAGGTAGCTACTTCACATGGCTATTTACCTACATTACTCATCCATTGATCTGTATCCTCATGGCAAGCAGCAGGAACAGCAAGCACTTGCGCACGCGTTATCTTCCGGCGGGGAGGTAAGGTAGGCCAACATAGAACCGTAGCTTCAGTCCTTTTGCGCCCTTGCGGAGCACGCTTGGTGGAGCAGAAAGCTGCACGCTGAAGCAGGGCGAAAAGGAGGCTTCTGGAGAGCGTTGCTAGCGAGCACATGCTTGCTGCAATTGAAGCTTCCCACTGGACGGCTTGCTGCTATCGTGGTGCAGCTAGCGGGGCACGACCCTGGCCGCCTTGGTACACCCTGGACCTCCGGACTGCATCTGACCTTGCCGGACGGAGCCTGCGCCTGTGTCGTGTATTCTGACTGCCAGCACTCCAGACTCCAGAGGCATGGCTTCGGCTCCCAGTCTAGCTCACAGTGAGGAACAACGCCCGAAGCTGGGTTCCGGGGTCGCCATTCTGGGTATTCTGGGTACTTTGGAGGGAGGGAGGCTCCGCTCTGGCCAAGATCCGTGGAGACTGCGTCCTTCAGGTAGTGTGGATGAGGCGGTGGAAACCTCGCCGTTGTTGTTTCCCACGTCTGTGAGCTGCTTGCCGCGGATCATTATGCTGCTGCTCCGGCGACTGTGTGCTTCGTATTTTGTATGTGTCCAGTGTGTGTATGTGTAGGCATTCGGCCCCCGAGTGCTCCAGCAAGGACCGGGTCCCAGAGAGAAAAAAAAAAAATAGCGACGAAGTAGGAGGACAGACAGGCCAGGGCACCGTCGTCAGTTCCCCGTGTCAGTCAGTCAGTGCCATGGAGTGTTGTTAACCAGACGCCAGACCAGACCAGACGGGACCAGAAGTTAGCTACCTTAACACCTTCCCCCCCACCCCCAAAACTCATTCTGGATTCTGCAGCAAAGGCGTGCCATCCTCTTCCTCCTTCCATCCCTCTTTTTCCTTTTTCTCTTTTTTTGTTTTGTTTCTTCCCCCGACATCACCTGCCCTCCAGCAGCGTGCACCCGACGGAAACTCCCTCTGCAACGCCTACCTATAGGTTTTGATCCTCTCCATCTCTCGGATGAGGTGACGTACATACAAACACCCGCCCTACCTCGCCTTCTCCTCCCTCTCCAACAACAAAGTCCGACGTCGGCTCCCGCCACCGCTCCCTCGACTGGACCGCCGCGAACCGATCCGAGACGCCGTTACACTTCCATCCATTCAGCTTATCTTACCCCAACACCACAAGCTGTCGGAGCTCGACCATTGATCGCTTTCTTTTGGGCGTTTCTCCCCGCCATACGGGAGTGGGGTACTAGCAGCAGCAGCAGCAGCAAACATGAGCAACTTTGCTCAGTGTAGCTGGCCAATATGGCAGATCGATGATCTCACGCCGTGTTTCCAGCAGGAGTAAGTCATGATCCCGCCCTGTCTTGTGCTCCGTCGCATCCCTCTCAGTCGCACCGCGAGCGCATCGCATCAAAGCGCATGCACCACCGCGCCACATCCTTCTACAGCTGTGCCTGCGGTACCCTTGCGCCGACATTTTTTGCGCCGGATAGAATGCGAAAACTAACCATTCTTCTCGTTGCAGCTATCTGAAGATTCTCTTCCCTCTGATTATAATAGGATTTTCATTCCTCCACCTCGCCGTGCAGACTCTTCGAAGCATCTCCAAGAATCGCAAACATGGATACGAACAGGTTTCTGACGAACATCACCACTCGCATACCGAGCTTCCTCCCGACGAGACCGCCGACGACGATGAGGACGACGACGAGGCACTCACCATGAACGGCGGTGGCCGCTTGGCTCTGGTCAAGACCACCACCAAGGGATCCATTGTCCAGGCCGACAGTCCTCACGGTCAGAACCTGTCCATCGTCGTGGAGGAGCTTGCAATTGCTGGTCTGATTGCCATTCACATTATTTCTTTGGTGACTGGCTCCGTTGCCGGCGGCCACGGCTTGATCGTCACCATCGTCGGCCTCGTCAACTGGGTTTACGTCGCTATCCTTGTCACACTGCGCCTCTTCCTGGGAAACACAAAGTGGCGCGTGCCTCGCATCTGGAACCACACGGCCTTCATCTACCTCTTCCAGTGGCTGTTTACCATTGCAATCTTCCGCTCTGTCATTGTCCACCCGCCTCCTCAGCTCGCGCAGATCCTCGTCATTCTCGAGTTTGCGTTGACCACCCTGCTGTTTGGCCTTGCTGTCACCACGAGAAAGGGCAACAAGACGGTGTTGTTGGAGTGGGAAGATGGAATTGAGCCTTCTCGCGAGCCTTTGGCCTCCCTCTTCTCCTTGGCTACCTTCTCCTGGTTCGACCCCTTGATCCTGCGCGGATACAAGGAGACTCTTGAGATGAAGAGTGTCTGGAACCTCATTCCCAAGGAGAAGGCTGCGGCCGTATTGGCGGACTACAGAACACTCAAGAGGACCGGGGCCCTGTCATGGCACTTGATCAAGTACTTCAAGGCCGAGCTTCTAAGCCAATTCGCCTTGGCAGTCCTGGCTGGTATCTTCACTTTCGCCCCAACGATGTTGCTCAAGGCCATCCTAGAGTATGTGGAGCGCCCCGAAGGAGCTCCGATCAACGTCCTGTGGCTGTACGTGATCCTGCTGCCCGTTCTCGACATCGTGAGATCGTTCGCCGACGGCATGGCTCTGTGGATTGGTCGCAAGATTTGCATTCGCATTCGTGCCATCATGGTTGGTGAAATTTATGCCAAGGCCCTTCGTCGCAAGGCCGCCGCAGGCAAAGATAAAGAACTCGGCATGAAGAAGCCTTCTGGTTCCGAGAAGAAGGGCTTCTTCGCAAAGGTCAAGTCCAAGTTGGGTTTCAAGAAGGCCAGCGACGCCGAGTCCGCCAACGGTGCCTCAAAGGACGCTGAGAAGAAGGACGACGAGCAGGCTAACCTGGGCACCATCATCAACCTGATGTCTGTGGACAGCTTCAAGATTTCTGAAGTCACCGCTTACCTCCACTTCATCTGCGCATCCGCTCCTACTCAGCTGGTCATTGCGATTGTTCTGCTCTGGCAAGTTATGGGTCTCAGCGCCATCCCCGGTCTCGTTGTCATGGCTTTGCTCTTGCCCATCAACTACAGCTTCGCCCGAGGCTTTGCCAACACGTCAAAGAAGATCCTGGGAGCTACCGACAAGAGAATCAATGTGACCAACGAAGTCCTCCAAAACATCCGCATTATCAAGTACTTCGCATGGGAGGCTAAGTTTGGCCGAATCGTGGACGAGAAGCGTGCTGCGGAGTTGAAGGCTCTCCGATCCCGCTACATCATCTGGTCTTTCGCGGTTGCCGTTTGGAACTCCGTGCCTGTTCTCATCACCTTCTTCTCTTTCCTGATGTACACTCTCGTCGAGAAGAAGCCCCTTTACCCCTCCGTGGCCTTCACTGCCATCTCGCTTTTCATGCTTCTGCGTGTTCCTCTCGATCAAATGGGAGACATGTTTGCTCACGTTCAGGAAACCAAGGTCTCTTTGGACCGTGTCGAGGAGTTCCTCACCGAGGAGGAGACGGAGAAATACGAGCAACTTGGCGAGGACAATGTGGACGAGAACGGCAACAAGGTTATCGGCTTCCGCAAGGCAACTTTCATCTGGGGTGGCAAGGACGTTGTCGCGGACGATGGATCGCTGGCTTTCCGTCTCATGGATATGGACGTTGACTTCCGCATCGGAAAGCTCAACATCATTGCTGGACCCACAGGTTCTGGAAAGACATCTATGCTCATGGCCTTGCTGGGAGAAATGACTCTGGTGGATGGCAAGGTGTACTGCCCTGGTGGTCGCAGCCGTGAGGAAGTCCGCGCTGACCCCGAAACCCACTTGGCGGATACGGTTGCTTATGTCGCCCAAGCTGCTTGGCTTGTGAACGCCAACATCAAGGAGAATATTCTTTTCGCTGCACCTTACGATGAGAAGAGATACCGAGACGTCATTGTCGCTTGCGCCTTGGAGCGTGACCTGGAGATTCTCGATAACGGCGATGAGACTCTGGTCGGTGAGAAGGGCATTACTCTTTCTGGTGGCCAGAAGCAGCGTATTTCTCTTGCCCGCGCCATCTACTCCAACTCTCGGCACATTCTTCTGGACGATTGCCTCAGCGCCGTGGATTCCCATACCGCGCAATGGATCTTCAACAATGCTATCAAAGGTCCTCTCATGGCCAACCGAACCTGCATTCTCGTCACGCACAACCTTACATTGTGCGCTCCCTCATCCCACTACATCGTCACTCTCGAAAATGGCAGAATTGGTGCTCAAGGTCCATCGGGCGAACTCATCGCCTCCGGTAAGCTCGGAGAGGAGATCCAGAAGGCCGCCATCAACTCCGCCACTGTCTCCCGCATTCCGTCCCGTGTACCGTCTAGCGTCGGCGAGGATGGTTCCGAAACCGTCGTCAACCCAGGCGACGAGAACACCACCGATGCCCGATCCAAGAAGAACGACAAGAAGAAGAAGGAGACGAAGGATGCTATGGAGGAACACAAGGCGGAGGGCTCCGTCAAGTGGCCTGTCATCCAGTTGTACTTGTCATCCATGGGCCCTTGGTGGTTCTGGATCGTTGCCCTCAGCGTCTTCGGTCTCCAGCAGCTTTCAGGTGTTGCAACTAGTTGGTGGGTGCGGGAGTGGGCCAAGCAGTATCTTCAGACGGAAGAGCAGTCCATGACATTCTCGACTTCATCTCACAGCTACAGCTCTCAGTCGTTGTCTCCCACTTACTTCGCCTCCATCGCCAACATTGGGGAGAGAATCAGCTCGTCATTCTCCACTACCGACAACTCCGACGTCAACGTTACTTACTACCTGACCATTCTTGCCATTATCGGTGTCGCAGGCTCGGCCACAGCCTTCATCAGAGATATTTGGGTCTTCTACGGTTCTTTGACAGCCTCTAAGAAGATTCACAACGATCTTATCTCCCGCGTCTCGAGGGCCAAGTTCAAGTTCTTCGACGTTACTCCCTTGGGCCAGCTCATGAACCGTTTCAGCAAGGACCTTGAGGCAGTCGACCAAGAAGTCGCTCCGATCGCTATTGGCGTCTTCGGATGTGCCCTTGGAATTCTAGTCACTGTCGTCCTGATCACTGTCATCACCCCTGGCTTCCTCATCGCTGGTGTCTTCATCACCGCTGCTTACTGGTTTGTTGGCTCGTTCTATCTCCGAGCTTCTAGAGACTTGAAGCGCCTGGAATCCGTCCAGCGAAGCCCTCTATTCCAGCAATTTGGCGAGACCTTGTCGGGAATGACCACTATTCGTGCCTATGGTGATGAGCGCCGTTTCATCCGTGAGAACCTGACAAAGATCAATGTGCAGGCGCGTCCTTTCATCTATCTTTGGGCTGCTAACCGATGGCTTGCTTTCAGAACTGATGTTCTTGGAGACATGGTGTCTTTCTTTGCTGGAGTCTTCATCATTTTCAGCCTTGGCACCATCGAGCCTGGACTTGCCGGTATTTCTCTCAGCTACGCCATTGGATTCACGGAGAACGTCCTGTGGCTCATTCGCCTTTATGCCATCAATGAACAGAACATGAACTCAGTGGAGCGTATCAAGGAGTACCTGGACGTTGAGCAAGAGGCTGAGCCCATTGTGGAGAAGAACCGCCCCCCTGAGAACTGGCCCAGCCAGGGATCTGTCGAATTCATCAACTACTCTACGCGTTACCGCCAGGATCTTGACCCTGTCCTGAGAAACCTCAGCTTCAAGATCAACCCCAAGGAGAAGGTCGGCATTGTTGGCAGAACGGGAGCTGGCAAGAGTTCGCTAGCCTTGGCCATCTTCAGAGCTTTGGAGGCCGACGAGGGCAAGATCTTGATCGACGACATTGACATCGGACTGATTGGACTTCGGGACTTGAGAGAGTCTATTACAATCGTCCCCCAGGATCCTACGCTCTTTATGGGCACCATCCGCAGCAACCTCGACCCCTTTGACGCGTACACGGATGAGCAAATTTTCGAGGCCCTCCGCAAGGTTCAGCTCATCGGACCTAACGAGTCGACGACTAGACCTACGACACCCTCTGCCTCTTCGATGTTGCCAGCCACGCCCAACCTCGGCCTCATCCAGGGCGAGACAAACTCGAGCCCTGCTTCATCCATTGCACCCACAAACAAGAACGTCTTCCTCAACCTATCGTCACCTGTCTCGGAGTCCGGCTCCAACTTGTCTCAAGGCCAGCGTCAACTGCTGTGCCTCGCCCGAGCGCTCTTGAAGCGCCCGAATGTGCTGGTCATGGACGAGGCAACGGCCTCCATTGACTACGCCACCGACACCAAGATCCAGGAGACGATTCGCGAACTGACCAGCACCATCATCACCATTGCCCACCGTCTGCAGACAATCGTGGACTACGACAAGGTGCTCGTTCTGGATAAGGGAGCCGTTGTCGAATACGGCCACCCATACGAGTTGATTCGCAAGGAGACCGGCAGCTTCCGGGGCATGTGCGATATGAGTGGAGAGCTATCTATTCTGATCAAGGCCGCCAAGAAGAAGTGGGATTCCGGAAGGCTAGTCGACATTGACGACGAGGAAATCGGTGACAGCCAGGCGACGGCCGTTGAAGATGAAGCCCAGAAGATTACCGAAGAGGCCAAGAAGAAGGCTGAGGCTGAAGCCCAGGCCAGAGAGAGAGCGGAGCAAGATGCCAAGAAGGCACAAGAGGCGGATGAGGAGGCGAAGAGAAAAGCGGAAGAGGATGCCAAGAAGAAGGCGTCTGACGAGGAAGCAAAGACGTCCGAGGAAGAGGACAAGCGAAAAGCTGAGGAAAAGGCAAAGGCCGACGAGGAGGCCAGGAAGGCTGGCGGAGGATAGGAGCCTGACCTGGACGACTTGGCCTTGTGTATTATGTCTTAGCGTTGAGCCGGGGGTTGGTATTCTCAGCTATCGCCAGCGTTGTGTTTTAATAAGGTAAAGGATAGTTTAGGTTCGGTAGATACAGGAATATTCTCTTTGTTCATTCATCTGCCGTCTTATTGTTACGTTACGTCTGGTGACTTGAAATCACGTTTACGAATATTCGACCCGGCGACGCTACTGGGGTGTTAGATGCCCGTGTTATGATCCAGCAAGTCCAAGTTTTCCACTGGCCTCGTTGAAACCTTCCCAGTCTAGACTTACACGTCTATCTGGCCTACCGCGACTATAAAAGAAGCTGCTTCATTCACCCTTACCAGGCAGAACCAGCCAATATGCTTAGTGACAGCAAAAGTGGTACATAGTTCAGTGCGAGCGAATGCTTGTCCCGTTGCTTAGTCGTGGTCGAGGCTTTGTCTGTATGAGCAATCTTTTAGACGATTGCGGGGCTCTGGATTGGAAGTATACCAATGAATAATCTTCCGAGGGTGGGCGACGGAGGCACGGCGGTCATGAATGCGAGATGGATGGTGTCGTGATGAGGTTGAGGACTTCACCTTGGATCGTAGTTAATCGTTGGCTCTACTAAACTTACGGACAAACCATACAGGAGCTTCAATTGCTGGCTGGCGTCATCCCACTAGAGCCAGCGTTCTAGAGCTTATTATACCCTGCGCTGTGTGGGCTCCAGGTTTTGGAAACAGAGAGAGTAGTGCATGATACGCGGTAGCCTGCCTCCGGATTACAGGCTGACGGGCAGAAGTATTTCTATGCTGAGTTATAAAGAGAAGAGATATCTGATTCTTCTAATCATCAATGTAGCCACTGTAGTAACAGTTTTCAAATGCTTTCGAAGGTGGACGGACTATGGTCTTTGGGCGAGTGCTTGCGATGTTCATGTCTACCTGATTGATCCCTTGAGTTATGGCTCTGTTTTTTGAACGGTCTCTCTCTTGTTTTATTTAATTCGGGAATACACAACTATCGACATGGAGGGTGAACGACGAGATACAAAGGCGGTACGCGCTATGTTGTTTCGATCTCAGTTAGCAAGGCCGCGTGAAGTAGATTGGCTGGATGTGCAATATGCCCACCAGCTAGACCGCATCTACCCTCGCATTTTACCCAGAGTCATGCTCCGAAGTAACCTTGGGCCAAACACATACGGTCTACGATCTTTCATAGCTCTTTTATCGTGGCTGTTTTCCCGGCTGGCGAAAGTGTCTGGTAGTTGTTGAGCTTGAGATCTATGCAAGAGCTTTGCATCCTATGATCAATGGAAGAAGTTCCGCCCAGGTATAAATAGAACTTGGTATTCATTTTTCAAAGGGTTTGGCACACCAATTTCATTGGCGTGATATTCAGAGAAACCAGACCCGGTAGGCAAGCCTGCCATCCCCCAAGGGTCTCCTCGAATTCGCGTCTGCGGTTTCAACGTCTAATGCATCACCAAGACAACATCCAATCCTGATTCCCTCGTTGATCTCCACCTCTTTTCTTCCCGTATGCATACGTTTCATCATCTCATTCCGCCGCGGTCTATGCCCACCACATGGAACGGCAGATGACGCGGTCCTGAATGGCCTAGGAAAAAGCATTTGGTCATCTGCAATAGCCATACCCAATCAACTCGGCGTACTATTACATTGTTTTAGTTACAAGAGAGAAAGTCGAAGTATGGATCGTCTAGCTTTTATACGGCTACTGTCCTCAGCAGCCGACGCCAGTGAGTGCTCATAAGCAACTACTCCTTACCACGATGTTATGTGTACGAGTGCGACGCCTCACTTCGTGGGTGTAACGAGCAAGATCTGATACTTCTCCTACTATTTCAAGGACATTACCTCACTGATCTGATCTGTTCCCTCGGCAAATTAATCTTACAATTGAGAACTTTGACGCCTTTCGACCAGACTGTGTGACAAGTACAGCACTCCGCTTCGGATCTCCATCAACAAGTTTGCCACGAGAATTACGATGTTCTGGACTTCAACTCATACGGGCACACAAACAAGAGAGGAAGAGAGTGGACGAAGACAATTGAATCTGGTTTTGCTTGGATCTTGGCAGGTAGTAGCGGACTTGAGGAGCTTTTAACTCTTTGGCTTCCAAAAAAGCGACACACCAGCACCCTTCATCAGACCCCATTCCTGTCGCGCGAAGAAACTTCCAGAAACCCGCTGCTTCCCCCCTATTACACCAATTGTCCCCCGTGCCGTTGTATTTCCTCGGCCACGGATGGTTTTCATCAATATCGGCAAGGTAGCCGGCATTCTGCGGTCTAGGCTGTCTCTGTTCCTTTTCACTTTCTATCACTAGCTACGCATATAAGTAGGAGATCTCCCAGGCAAGTCCTCAAGCCGCCAGAGCACACAATGGGTTGGGTCATCTGGGTCATACTAACCGTGCCATGGACACTTACGAGGCCCCACGCCATGTCGTTACAGAAAGGCCCTCCTTTTCTCAGGTTGCGATGCTTATTTCGTACAACCCACGCATATTTGGGAATACTGTGGAACGGGTGACTGGCAATGACGGTAAGAGAACGAGTCACAAAACAGTTGGACATCGCCTGAGCTGTACTTCTGTCTAGGATACCTGCTCAAGCGTCCTTTAGCTTCCGCGCAGTTGATCATCAGTACACTCTGGATTCTCTGAGTTTTCTGATTAATTAAGTTTCAACCTTGGCGCTATGAGTTAGCTCTTGTAACTGACGATTGCAGGCTCCGGAAGCGCAGCAACCACAGGACGGCTAGAATAGTCCCAGATACCGGTACAAGTCAGGCTGAGTTGTACCGTATCGTTGTAGCGAGGATGGGATTTTCTATTAAAGACTGCAGTTTATAGTATGTGTGTCTGTCACGATCCAGAAGGGTACAATGTGGCAGTCGTTGCAATTTAGCGCATCAGAGCTATGCCAGACAAATGACGTCTAGAAAGTTATGACATCTGAAACGGTTACGCTAAGCTTCATTATGTGGTTTTGCTTGGCCCATAGACATCACTTTCCTTCATCTTTCTTATGGTATTCACGCGTATTGCTATATCTCGGCAAGTTGATAGAAGACCGGATGTTGAACATGCCCCGAACGCTCAGCCTATAGCACACTGGCGATCATTCCATGAATGCTTGTCAGGGTTGACAGGAGAGCATCAAGCCATATTGGCCTTAAAAGAAGGACCAGCTCTTCACCTCACGTACGGGGCTCATTTATATTTGGTGACTGCCCGCATTCAAAGCAACAGCAGAGCCAAGGATTTCCCAATGACATCGTTATGCATTATCACAGATTTCCACGGCCAATGTTGCTCAACCAAAGGCAATGCGCATTAGCTCAGCAAATGTTTGCAGCCTAATATTCATGGCTGGCGCCGATGAGGGTCGATCAAAACGAACAGAATGGCTGCCGCTTGTTCCGTATGGCTATACTGACCGTATTTCATGTCCAATATATGGATGCGAATGATGGACGGGGGATATACACTTCGAGGAGGTAACGAGCGAGAGGAGATTGCCAAGCTCTGTAGCCAGATGTATTCTAGGTCCGTCGTCATTAACTCGCCAAAACAACGGAGAGCCCGCCGGTACTTGTCGTTTGGCATCAGATTCGAACTCCGCTGGTACCTTTTATCATGTGCTTCCTCATCCTCATCGACGCCCCATTCTCAGCGCTCCCGACTCATATCATTGTCATTGAGACCTCAAGTCAAACGTACTGCAATCATACTTAATGATCCAAGGCTACTTTGTTAGTTTACTCTCAAGAGAAGAAATCTCATGTCTTTCTCGAAGTCCGCCTCCATCTGGGCAGGGCAAATGACCTTCGTATCGATGTCAGAAATCCACAGCACTGAGCTGTTTCCAAAACTCCAGCACTAAACACGTTCTCTTCCTTCATCCACGGCCTCCATAGTCCGAGGCGTATTCAGGACGAATATTGGAGTGATCATGGCGGGATTCAGTTGCTATTGACTGTACGACGACACCATAGGCCTCGCATCTGAAGGAGGCAAGTGGGATGCCTGTTCGCCCGTTCGATGGCACAAACAGCCAGCAAACACGACTTCTCGAGGATTGGATTGGTCCTGAATCATCATCTAGTGAGCTGAAGCGCCTGCTTTTATACAGTGCGGATGAGGAGCTCTGATATAAGCGGAGGGTGATACTGGACAGACCTTAAAGTAGCAGAAAGCGAATCGTAACAGGTACATGTCTGGTTCCAACCGTGTGATGAGGTTCTCATACGCATCTTCAGTGGTGAGCTCACGCGCTTCCTCATAATGGTAGGGGTGATGCATCCATCTCATATGCCGGTAACTGTAAACATGACAGGGGTCGGCATTGTCAATGTTTTCTTGGAATTATTCGTAGTGTTCTATGGCGATGAATGACTTGGACAGACAGTGGCGGCGGCTATGAGTTCATATTGTGGTCTGAACACCCTGTGATGACACCACAACTTCTTGTACGGTTCCAAGACTAAGGAACTGGTATCAAGACAGGCGAGCTGAGGCGGTATTTGTAAAGAACGATCACAAACTCAAACTAGCTGACGAATTTATATGCGTACGATTACCTGGATTGGGGTCGTCGCGAGGGTTGAGTTAGAGCTAGTAGAGTTGCCTTTTCGCAGTTCCGCTGGAAGGATAAGGGTCTATCGACGTCTTAGCCCCTCTCGCCGTGTCCGCCGAGCAAAAGACTTGGCTTCAGAGTGCCCTCTCCAAGTTTCATTTGAGGATCTTGGCGCGGTCATGCCCGCCAATTGGCAAAAAGTGTTCGTCGACCTGGCCCTAAACCTACTCATCTCATAAGCAGGCCCTGCCAGCCGGAAGCAGGCAACAGTGAAGTTTGTTCTCACCCTCATATCCAATCCCAGATATTCCTAGACGAAAAGGCAGGCATCAACAAGACAAGTCTTAAGCACCTTGGCGGATGGTGGCCAAGGTTCTCGAAAGTT